GGTTTTCCATTTCAGATCATGTATGGCCCCGCATAGTCACAGAGTACAGTAACCTCTAAAATGAGATAAAAATGAGTCTAGATACAGAGCAGAGTGTAGGTAAGAGCTGGGGTGTACCAGAAGTATCAACAGTGGCCCCAGGGCACCAAGACAGCACGGTGTTCCCTGTTAGCTTGTCAAGAAGCCCTTGTAAGGCTGCGTGCCTTCACATGATATTTTTAGTATTGGAATAAGCAGGTTCAAAACCACCTTGAGTACAACTCCTCTAGCCACAGCCAAAGCTTAGCTCCTCTGGAACATCTTCATGAATAATAACTAATCAGTGCTCAGCACAAGCATGTAGCACACAGAGTGGTCCACCAAGATGCCAGCCACTTTGGGGTGGAAACAAAACACAACTGTTAACTCACATGAAAATTGTGTAACCCAAGGAATAAATTTGAAGAAACCACTGCTTCCTGAATGCAAATAGGCAATGACACTACTCTGATGGAGGCCATTGTCTCTTTACTGAGCACAAATGTGTAAAACCCTGACCATTACACCTATACACCTGTAGCTCCTGTAGCTGGTTGAAATTTATTTTTGGCTGTTTATTCAACTTCTTCTTGCAAAAGTTGAACTTAACTTTCTTTCATTTTTGCAAATCAGAATTGATTATTCAAAAAAATTATTCAAAAATTATTATATCAAAAAAAAATATTTTATTTTTTTGACATTTCTCTTAAAATGTCAGATGCTGAAAATCCTTGTTTAGAAACATGGAAAAGCAAGAGCTGGGGCACTTCTGACATTGAAACTGCATTTGGGATCAGTAGGCTCTCCATAGCTGGTAGGTTCCTCTTGAAGTAGGCTAAACCAACACTGGCAACATTCAGGGCCATGTCCTGGGGAAGTCCCCATTAGTGACCAGTGCAGGTGGATGAGCCCTGCAGAAACCAAATCCACTCATTTCCAGTAGAATAAGTCTAAAAGCAAAGATATTTCCTTTTAACTACTTGCTTTTGGCAAATCAGGGCTTCTTGGGTAAAATCTTTCCAAACTATAAATCCATCAGATACTTTCTCAGTTCCTCAGTTGCCATATTCCAAGAAATATGATATGACCTTGGCTGGGAAATGCAGCCAAAAGATCACTGTCACCTATTGACTAGCTTTCCTGCATGCATCCATAGCATAACCATTTTTTCTTGAATTACACCCAAGTAGGGAAAGGTGTCTCTCCTTGCTTACAAAACCCAGTGTCTTAACTGCAAAAGATGTCATGAGCACAGGCCAAAAACATGTGTGTCTTTTAAGACATTACTGTTCCTTGTAGGAGAGAAAGAAAATAAACAAACAAACAAACAAACAAACAAATAAATAAATAAATAAGGCTCATCTTTGAAACTAAGAAATGTACTTATTCCAAATTTTGAGCCAATCTTCAGAGTTAAGTTATATATAAGGTTCTTCTGGAGTTTTACTGGAGCTTGATATAATGCCAGAAGATACTAAATTCTCATTTTTAAGAGAATGACCACTACACAGAGCTGCCAACTGAGAGTTTCCTTTATTGCAATAAAGAGCTTGCCAGGGATAACCTCAGTAAAAATGACACTGATAAATACTTCAGTTTAAAGATAATCAATACAACACTTCCAGTGTTTACACGTGGTTTTATTTTTTGGTCAGTAGAATACATTTTTCTTGCCCAACTTCCACTTCCAACAAGGTCCTCTAGTCTTTTTCTTGCTTTGGAAACAGAACACTCTATGACTGAATCACGAGTACATGTGCAGTGCTGTCAGTCGGCATAATACCTTGGACACACATGAGGGCAGGATTTGGCTGGGGGGAATGGCAGCGTAGCATGTTTTTTAAGTGATATATCTTCTTTGAAAATACTACTCCAGATTATATATACAGAATAAAACAATATATATTCTAGATCCGTTTTTAATTGGTTATTCCCTCTGAGATAATACCTTTCCCTCTTCATGTGTTTTTAGTCCCAGCTTATGTGATTTCTTGCAGTTGTCCCGGATTTGGATTTCCCTCGATGGCCCTGTTCTGTTTTGAGAATAATTTATGTTTCACACTTCATTTGCATGCTTTCCTAACTGCATGGATAAAATAAGCACAAGATTCCTTGTCTCTAACTTCCCAACTGAGCAAAAAAATCTTCTCCTTTTTCTTCCCATTCCTCATACCCTACTGCAGAGTCAGACACATTGCTACAGACGTTCACGTACATCAACATAGTGAAGCGTCAACATGGTGAACCATCAGCAGAAACCTCAACTATGAAGTAGGAAAGTACAAGCAGGTAAAAGAGCAACAGATGTTATTTATGTGCTATGTCTCTTGTGGGAATGCTTTTGGTGTCTTTTATATATATGTATGTATATATATCTATATATATAAATTATTTTTTCCCCTTTTAGAGTAGTGTATGCCATACAGATAGAATACACGCTAGTCAAACCACAAAAGGCAGTGACATGAGGACCATGTACAACCAGAACCATACAGATACACAGACTTGTGATAAAGTCATAATATGTGTATTTTCATCTTTTTAATGCGAGTTGGTTTGAAACCTTTTACTTCAACATTTGCATAAACACCTACTTACCCTTCCTCCTTTTTAAACACGTAGTTTAGACACTAATTTTGCCTCCAACACCAAGTCATCAGCAAGTTTCATCAGCAATTAAAATTTTCCAGTTTCAGGCTAGGACACTATGAACAAACTGATTCAAAACAAAAGATGAGCACAGTGGTGGGGTAACCCCAGTTATGTTGGTTTTACTCACCACTTGCAATCTCTTCCTCTCTCTTGCCATATGCTGCAGCACATACCGAAAACTTTACCAAGTCAAAGGTCATATGTGGCTTTAGAAAAGTTTCATTTTTTATTAAGAAAAAAAAAAAATAGAAAAAAAAAGTTGAAAAGTGAAAGAGCAAAAATTTAGGGAGTTTGAGGTGCTGAAGCAAAGCTGCAGATATTGGAGTACAAGTGGCACAGTGGCACAGGTTGCCCAGAGAGGTTGTGGAGTCTCCTCCTTGGAAATCTTCAAAAGCCACCTGCACATGGTCCTGGGCAGCCTGCTCTGGGTGTTCACACTTGAGCAGGCCCAAAGGTCCCGGAGGTCCCTGCCAACCTTAACCATTCTGGGATTCTGCAGTCTCTAGAAACACCAGCTACTTCCTCGCCTCACTTAAAAACCTTCAAGAATCAGTCTGAGTGGAGAATAATTTCACTGGTTGCTGTTCATAGTGTTTTACTCCATGGCTGTTAGCTATTATTTCTGTTATACTGACACAAAAAGCAATCAAGAACATTCTCAATATAGTACCTCCTGCTTCTGCATTACAACCCAGTTACACAACCCACAACATTATACTACTTCTTTCGGTCCTCATTACTGAGCACTTAACATTCACACTCCGGCTATCTGTTCTTTAATAAGAAATAAAGTTTTTTGTTTATTTTACACCTATTTCACTTGTCATTTAAGATTTACAGAATGCCATCAATCTTTACCTCAGTACATTGACCTCAGTCTAATTGTTAGGACTCCAAATTCTGCACAGATGTTATAACTATGAATTTAACTTTATATAGCAAGAAATTCAGTACTGCCATATGCTGTCTTTTATGAGCTTGCAGTTTGTAATGAATATCCATGACTAATGCTTTTGACCCAGGTAAGCCCATGATTATGGAAGGTAAAAAATTTACTAAACTTTATCGCTGCACTTTAACTAACACTGCCAACAACCAATGTGAAGGAACTCCTTTGCCTGTGTGTTGATTTGAAAACATTTCTTAGCTCTTCTTAATATACCGTCTGCATCAAGTGTCAAAATCTGCCAGATTCATATATTTTTATATCATAAGATGGTTTTCTTTGACGTCCAGTGTTATTCAGATATCTTTATATTTTGTTGCTTGAATCTTTTGGTTTGGTTGTTTTACTTTATTAAAATCAATTGGGACAAAACTTTCTTAAGCTTCTTAAGAACCAGTCAGGTACTAGAATTCAAACACATTTATTAAGAGTGGAGTTTCAAATATTTTAAACTATTTCTATTTAAACAATAGGGAATACCTATTCATAAGTAACTTAATCTTTATTAATCCTCGAGGATATGAACCAGATATTAGTTAATGTCCAAATTAACTTTCAAAACTGCAACGAGCCTTATCAGATAGTAAATGTAAAACTGAAAAATTAACCTCCAAAAGCAGACAAGTGAATCAATTGTGTAGTCCAATTAGCTACTTCCCAAATGCAGAAAGTACCTCTCCCTACAGAGAGGCACTGAGGCGTGGCCCACATATTCTGTGTGGTCTAGCAGGGCTGGTGACTCTCACAGTGATGTGGGAGCCAGGGAAAATAAGGTGGCAAAGGTTGCAAGGGTCGTTCAAGGCCTTGTTAAGGTTTAAGAGAGGGTGATATGGCTTCAGCAGTCTGATGATGTACCGAAATCCAGAGCTGGAAGCCGTTTGGGGTGAGGTGGGACACTGCTATCTTCAAAATGAATTTACTTAACATTAAATAATTATTCTTTTATAACTGTAGGAGCTTCCTTTCTAGAGTATGGACCTGCATCCTGCTCCATATGGGTAGAGTCCACCCCATGGTAGGGGGTCCCTCCCTCACAGCAAGAGGTCCGTTCTTCTCCTGGAAGTTCTTATTAGATTAGGTGGAGGCAAACAGCCACCTTTTTCCAAGGGTGTTTAAATTAGCTCAAAAGGCACTGACCACTTTCCTAGATAACTTTTTAGCATGTAATTAGAAATGAAAGGCAAAACGGTAAATAGCAAATTATGAGGCCTGAAAGTCAAGTTTAACCCACTCAGTATTAAACTGCTGACATCTGAGTGTGCAGGAGGTGACTTACCCAGGGCAGCTGAAGGTCACATCCCGTGCTGTAAATATCCTGATTGTCACATCTGCAAGTAAAATCAAGGGTATGTCCTGCTAGAAATCCACACTGACGACTAAAGTAAAAGTATTGAAACTCTTTACTATAAACAGTTTTCGATGCAGCCACTGAATATTACTAACTAGTTAAAATGAACACAGCAATGAGGTATTTTATGTTTCCATTAGACAGTAAGAGACTGAAGGTGAGCTGAGCGTGAAACACTTGATGGTGGTAATATGTGCGTCCATTTATTCAGTTCTGAGTAACGTTCATCTCAAATATCAATTAAAATAGCCTAAGCAACAGCAAAGGAAGCCTAGTCCTGCATCATTAACTTTTTGTCAGCACTGCTGGGAGTGTATCAGCAGATCTACAGCTGCTGGTTTTGAGTGTGTTGAGTGTTATGGAGGGGATGCTCATCTCACTGTACAGCTAGCCGATCTCATCCTAGCATGTTCATCAAAGTAACACGAAGTAAAACTGGTGTGAGGTAAGAATGAAGTTTTCTGGGCATGAATCTTCACTCTTCTTCCCACGTAGTCACGTTCACTCTGCAAAGTGAAAACAATGCATGACAAGATGAGAACAGAGGCTGAACCTTCATACACAGCCAATAAGTAACGAAGCCCTCCCTAGTTCACTTGATCTGAAGGTACAGCCCATAGGCACTTTTTCATTTATTTTCTGAATAAATTTGAGCTTTTTTTCTTCTGAGTAGGACAAACAAAGCTCAGAGTCATAGCAACCAGTGACAGAGTCCCCTTCAGACACCCTCAGCTGATATTAGCACCACAGTTTTGGAAAAGCACTGTGCCAGGAACGAGTTACCAATGTAGCATTACAGCCAAAGCTACTTTGTAAAGATATCACTACAGCTATAGTCAGGCATCCTTCCAATGAACAATAGTAAATAACAATTGGGTCTAGACTCTTTTTCTGATTCAGATACTCGTTTACTGTGATTTTAATGTCTATTTTATTTCACTGTATTTATTTTTTTTTTAACTGTTATTTTTTTTTTCACTTTAAAATGTATTTATTTTCTGTTAATTTATTTTCAGAGTTAATGGTCTATCTCTTGTGAAATCAACTGTCAAACATAGCAGAATCAGCGACTGGATGAGAAATGTTTATGCAGTTCAAGTGCTAACATAGTGTGGCGTTAGCGCAAGAGGAATTATGCAGGACTCTATCACCATGACTGTGTGTTAGAAGCTGTTTACTGACTTTAGCTAACGCAAAGAGTGAAACACTTAGATTTTTATCTGAAGCCCTAGAATCTGGAAAGCATAATAAAAAGAGAAATGACCCTCATTAAAATCCACTTCCTGTTTTAGGTTTACTGGAATTATCCTAAAACAAATTCTGCAATCTCTCCTCAAGGCCCAATTCTATGGCTTCTTCCATCTAAAGAACAAATTATGCCTAAGTTCTCTCTCCCATTTTTCCTGATGTGTGATGAAAAGAGAATTTGCTGTACCTCTACAGCCGACAGAGTTTTTGGCATCTAAACCTAAGGAAGTCTCACCTCTGCACTTGCCTTTGGCATTTCTCTTGGTCTTTGTAGAACACTTTCCAACGATTTTCTACAGATGCATATGGGAGATACCACTGCACCAAGAAAGAACTACAGTGCATTAGCCTCTACTTAAGATAAGGGAAAGCGGGAAGTGCCACATCTGTGCCAATACGAGAAATACTTCCTCCTACAGGGAAGAGATTTATGCATTTCCCAGCCCTTGGTGGAAGACCTGCACACAGAAGAAATGGAAAATTCTGTTTTATGCATGATTTTATAAGTCTTTGCCAAATTTGCATCATTATAATCTATAAACACATAAATTAATAGCATTGAAACCATTGGTTTATTATTGCTGAGCTAAGATGGGTGAAGCTGCTGCTACATGGACACAGATTTCAGACCATATCTTAAAAGAAAGGCTGGCAGAGATTTCTATTGACTGTCCTCATTTAAGGGACAAAGTCCCTTTAACCTTAAGTCCCTTAAAGAGTGAACATTTCATCTGAACAAGGGTCTCCAAGTTTAGACTCAGGGGAATTGCTTTCTTGCCCTTGGTTTCAGCCAGAAGTAGAAAACGCAAAGATATGTGAGAAAAAAATAAAAATAAAAATAAGAAGAAAACTTTTATGACCTATGATTTGGTTCATAAACTTAAATTTCATTCTACCTAACACAAGCAGGAGGCAACAGGGAGAATATACATCTGAGTTTATTAGCTGACAATTTTAGCTATTAACATAAACCTGTGAAAAAACCAGTGTGGTCTCAGAATGCACCAGGTGAATTATTTCCAGGATGAAGTAGCAATGTCATGGTAGAGAGGGCTGCTAGAGCTTGCTCTGAAATAGTTTATGGTGAAGAATTCAGTTTAGTTAAAGCTAAAAAACAGGATCACTTTTAGTTAAAGTATCAGTCTGTAAACATCAGGGAGGAGAAAATATTATTCCAGCTAAAGAGCAAGCTGGAAGGGAAACAGGAGTAAAAAGAAAACTCAAGTGGTATAAATTAGTCACACATATACTTCCCATGTAAATTAAAAGGTCTTCAGATAACAGAGGATCGAGGTTGTGGTGCATCATCACTGCAGAAATCAGGAAAACTAAACTATGTCAAGATCTGATTAGCTAAGTTTTTGAAAGTGAATAAGGAAAGTGCAGCAGCAGGTAGGGGGACCTGAAGTACACTGAAAGTTGTATTTCTATGTCCTTAACTAGCCTGCTTCCTTTACCCCTGCTAAACACTTAGCTATTAGCAGTTGAACAATAACACTCCTGCCTGTTAGTACAAATCTCATCTCAGTCAGAAAAGCAGAAAAAAAATGATAATGTCAATGAATCTGAAGGACCAAAAGCTAAAATTGCTGGTGAAGAACTAGCAGTAAGTTTGCAGCAGTTCCTATCTTCTCAACAGCTCAGTTCATATCTACTGAGACAGCTAACGAAACAGGAATTGGAGCGCTGCTCTCATGAGTCACTCTGGAAACCTTTACATAAAAAAAAAAAAAAAAAAAAAAAAAAAAGCTGTGTGTTAAAAGTATCTTAGCCAAACATGTTATTTCTCTTAAATATACAACAAAACACAACTGTCCTCAAGGTAAATATCCTCTGTTTTATTACTTTAGATCACTTTTCAGTGCTGTAATCATGTCATTATGTTTGCAGTTCCTGGCTCCAAAAGAAGCAACCATCTAACTATAAACTTCTGGTTTCCCAGTCCATTCTGTCTGTGTCACTTTGAGGAGGACAACCAAAGTTCAGTGAGTCTGAACCTACCACCAAAATTGATGGGAGTAAGCTCAAGTCTCCTTGTCCATGACATCTGTAAGAATTTTCTTCTCTGCTATGCAGTTTCTAAGAGATATTCACAGTTCACATCTGTTTTTTTTTTGTTTTTTTTGTTTTGTTTTTTTTTTTTTTTAACTGGATTGGAGATCTGCAGCAGGAAAAAAGCACAGTCAGTCTATGTTGTCCACTGATGTACCAGGAACACTTTGATTGGTACCACCAGGGGTTCCTGCATTTTTGGTATTTTCTATAGTATCGTACAAAAAACAGGGGTAAAAAATATATATATCTTCCTTTTGTCTATAGATGGATAGGAATTTGAATAATAGAACACTGAAATCATTCTTCTCCAGGTCTTTATAAGGCCATTACAGTGACTCCCAGGATCAGAGTGCTTCTTAAATGTTACTGTAAGATTTTGTACCTTACTGTGCAATGTCCTTTGAGGGTAACAGCTCAGAAAGCTTGGTTTCAGCCTATTACAGCCAGAACAGGGACACAGCATGGGAATTCCAGTTGCTTTGTTTTCATAAGTTTTTGCAATACGTTATGCTTTATTTTCCCTACCTTTGGAGCCAGGAAAGTTGCATCTGTCATGAGTAACTTCTGCAAAAAAATATGATGGTGGAGACCGAAGAATAACAAAAACGCTTTCACACTGAGAGGCCTCTCACTGTAATAACAGCATTAATCAATAATTGTAATAGCAAGTGGCAGCAAGACTTAAGTGTCCTTAAACTACCTTTATGCTTCTATACATTTATACATCCTACAGACAAAGTTAGGGTCTCCCTTGTGGTAAGACAGGTCTGGACAACTAGATACAAGCAGTAGGAAGATAACCTCCCAGGTGGTCCAAATGTCTACAAGAGCCACATTGACAGTTGGTAACCAACTCATCTATGGACTAGACAAGTGCAGTGTAGCCCCTAAAATATCTGCTTTTAGGCACCACATCTCATGTTGGGCTGGCCAGCCTTGACCTACCATGGATGTGTATACCAGAATACCCTCAGTCCCTAAATAATAATTATTATCTTTTAGGAATGAAACTGCAGGTAGAAGATGATACTTCAGAACCTTTCTATGCTATCTTTTAGCTCTCCTTTACTTTTCTATTTTTGTTGTGTCTGTTGAGGTCAAACCAGTGGCAGCTTTAATTGCACTTACAAGGCATGTTACTAAAATGGGCACAGAGTCCTAACCTCAACGTTTTCTTCATTATTTTGCAACTTTGGGAGCATGCCAACATCATTGCAAGATTTGGCATGCATTTACCTGGAAAGAATGAGAAACTTCATATTTCATTTCAGCTTTGCAAGGTTTCCTCCCTACACCCCTCTCACCCCTACACCTCTCACCTCTCCCCCCTGACTTCCCCTGAGGAAAAAAAAAAGGAAAGAAAAAACAACAAGGCAAGCAGAGGAACTGGAAACATAGTCAAAGGGCAAAGCCGATCTCTCTGACAATGGTATAAATCAGCACTGCTCAGTAGGCTTCTGGGGAACTCCCCCTGAAAGCAAGATCAGACCCTTCACAAGGGACCGCATGTTTTGTGGGTAGCCACTCTCTTCTGTCCTTGAATTTGGGTATTATGTAGAGGTTATTTTTACCTGCTCCTCCAGCTAAGGCCAGTTTGCTACGTGAGAGTTTTGTTGCACTTGGACTTGGAAGTGTGAACTTTAAAGGCCAAGCTGATAACCCTACCTGCAACCTGGTGCCTTAGATTCCAGTCTAATGAAGCTCTAAGTTTAACTTCTGTTTCAGACCTTTAGCACAGAAAATATTCCTTGCACAGCTGCTACTTGGTGCTTGGAACTTAAAAATGGCTTCATTTTGACAGACAGACTCACCAGGCAACTAACAGAATTTTACAGAATATATACATTAAGTATTTTAATGTCAAATGTTTAAACAGCCTTTAAAAAGGGATGGAAATAGAGGTTACCACCGCCCCCATCCCACCAGAGTGGTGGCCCTTGCAAGTCACACTTCTCCTGAAGCTTCTTTTGCTTCGTGTCTGGGGCTGCTTCAGTAGGGACTCAGCTACACCCACATAAAATGAAAGTTTCACAGACAGTGAAGTTTCACAGAAAGTTTCACAGAGAGGCATTCGCTGTCTCTTCTGCCACCTTCGCTTCCTTATCGCTGGATTAAAGAGAGGGCTCCACAGGGTGGAGTTCTCCCAAGAAAATGACAATGAAACCATGTTTCTTACTGCCTAGCACAGCACTTCCTCAGTGAAGATGCGAGCACCTTGCCTTGGGGACTGCAAGCAAAGGGGTGCCCACCACAGTGTCAAGGCAGGGGTGCTGCCTCCCTGCGTGGGATGCTTAGGATTTGAATCAAAGCATTTTCCTGCTCAGACCCATGGAGCTGTGCTTTTCTCTGTGGGATGTCCAATTCTCTCCGTGCACCCTGCAGAGCCTCACTAACTCCTATCTCCAGCCACAGTAACCTACTGGGCACACAGTTTAAGCATAGCCGTGTCCAAGCCCTTTTGCAGTATAAATCCACAAAAATGTCACTGATTCCCATAAGAGAAAATCAGTGCAAGTGAGGGCAGACCATGGCCCAGCAGCCCCACAGCCCAGCACAGAGAAGAGCTGGCGACACCAGTGAGCGGCAGCCCCGAGCTGGGCAGGGAGCAGCTGAGAGGGAGCCAGATGGGTAATGAAAGGGGCGCAGCCAGCTCCTCAAAAAATAGACTTTTAATTGGAGGATGTTTTGCAAGACACCCCTGACATAAAGTTGAATTATTTTCATTTTTGCTCAAACAGCAAAAAATGTAAATGTTGCTGTTTGCGCAGAGACTTTTTTTTTTAAGTTGTTGTTGCAAGACAGCACTTAAAAGGAGGCTGATATTAATCATCTCCATGTAAGGCAAGTTTAAAATGGCATATCAACCAATTATTCAGAGCAGCTGATGGGCAGTGGCCTATTGTGCTGGCTGGTGTTTCTCCAGAGCGGGTATCAAACGGGTCCACGTGGCACGAACAGAACAGAGCTCCAGATGGGAGAGCAGTTCCCATCTTTTGCAGAGTAAATCTGCTGTTTGAGACTATATTATATGACTGAAATTTTATACATATGACTTTGTTGGAGCTGGGATCTCTTCTTTTGAAAATGTGCTACAATAATAATTGCATTTACCAGTTGCCAGTCCTTCTCGCAAAACATTTTTTTTTTGTTCCGATTGTGAAATTAATTGTCTCTAGCTAATATAATTAAAAACAAACACTTCTGATTTCAGTGGAGGGAAAGGGGAGAAAAAAAAAAAAGCAACTGCAGCCCTGATTTTCTATTGACAACAAGAAAGCCCTGCCATCCCTGAACTGTTTAATTATTGAAATGAACTGTAACAGTACACTGGATTGTTGCCGAGGTCACCGAGCAGTGCTGGATGTCAAGAGGAAAGCAGCAGCTCCGAGAGCCCTCCAACGCCCCAGGCTCCGTCTGAAAACCCACACACTTTTTCTCAAGCATTCGGCCCCTGATAGGTAGCCTGATAGCACTGCCGATTTGCTGGTATTACAGAGGTCTGACGGTGCTTGCTTGTTTTAAGACAAGCCAAACTATGCTCTGGTGACCACCGTGACGCTGTGATTCCCATGCCCTATCGCATTCCTCTTTCTCAGATCCCAGGCATTTTTTTTTTCCCCTACGTGCAGTCCAGGATGTAGACAAATGAATTCCAAGTGACCTATGTGGGGGTGGACTCTTTGGAAACAAACAACAAAAATAAGATATCTCCTGTCCTCACTTTTTCATTTGCTTGCTCCCTGGATACAGTTTATTCATGGCAATGAAACACACATTTTGTCTCTGGAGCAAGATCCAGCAGCAACATCTTTACCACCCCCTAACTTTTTTTTTTTTTTACTTTTTCTTTTTCCCCTTCTTCCTTCTTTTCTTTTCCTGATTTCCTACTTCAGTCTTTACAAAAGAGATCTTGTTTTACCTTATCTGCTCCTTTGGAAGTAAGGCTGCCCTTTAAAGCGTATCATATCAAGGCTTTCTATTGATTTAAATGATTTTTTTTTTTTTTTTTCTAGAATAGTTTTGGAAACTGGAAGTTTTGAAAAAATGCATGTGCGTATCTGTACTGGCAGCATGATCTGCTTTGCAAATAATCACTGAGTATCCAGGGAAAGGAAAAAAACTTCTTTTGAAATTTTCAATGTGAAGAAAATTCTGTAGATAGAAAAACTGCTAAAAAGAAATAAAACTGCAGTTGGGGAGCAGACAATAAACATTTCAGATTGCTTTATGGCACACTATTACAGGCAACTATCTTGCTTAAGTAGGCATAACATTTTTCACAGTATATATTTAAGGTTTTATTATGGTTTGGATTAACAGCAGGAAACCATCGCTCTTGAAGGGAGGGGAGAAATAATTTTTGCCAGTTCAGTGGCCTGGCAGGTAGCAAAAAGCACTTTTTAAACAGGACATGGACGTCTGAATTCAACGTGGCCTGAGAAATGCCCTGAATGGCCTCCAGCTTAGTAGGATGCTCATGTCATGGCCTGCATGCAAGGGATGTCCATGGGCAAGAGAAGACCCTGGGGACTAGTGCTGCCCCACAGTCACTGTGTTAGTGACACCAAGGCTTTTGCTGGGCTACCTACAATCAACACAGCCCTGTAAGCCTATCCTCCTTCCCTGCCTGATTTTAGGGGCAAACATCAGAGCATTCAGGGCCACTGCGGCCCTTCAACAGCTCTCATCCATCCTCCAGAGCAGCTCTCTAGGACAGCAAGTTACGTGGTGACATCTACCTCCAGGCTGCCAAATCCTGCCAGTTCAGAACAATGGAACAGAGAATAACGGGAAAAGAATAGCCCACATCAACACATCCAGCATTGTCCCAGATTCCCTTCGGCTTCATTAAAATTAGTGACGTCCTTCAGTCTTGGGTGCACCAGACCTTGCCTGCTTCTGCATGGAGCACTGCTGGCGGAGCTGCCGGTGCTCCCCAGCATCTCCTCACTGCCAGCACTGGCTCGGTGACCCCAACCCAAACCCCACATTTGGGAAACATGCCACTGCCCATAGAGACCCATATAGCCATAGTTGTTCAAAAGAAATTAGAGTAACCTAATTTTTATTATTCCCTACAGAGTGACAACTTGCCCCACTCCCTGATGTACTTCTATGTCCAAAGAAACACGTTCCATTTATCCCATCGCGCCCACCTGCATCCAGACTCTCATGGACACAGGATGGGGACAAAAGCTTCCAATATGCAAAGCTTCAGCCAGGCAGAGACGCAAGGAGCTAATCTCTTTGTAAATTATGTGAACTGAAGTAAGTAATTTAACAGCTTATTCCCCCAGGTAGCCAGTGACCACTGTATGTCCCTGTTATTTAATATGACAGTTAACCTTTCGAGGGCTGGTAGTCATTTCAGATTAACCTTTGTATCTTAAAAATTAGTAAGCAATTTTCTTCTGGTTAATTTTTTTTTTTTAATTGTTATTTTTTCCACCTCTTTCCAGTGGTCATCTCATCTACATTTGTTCACCCTTTTTAATGCATCAGATTGTGAATCAGAGTTGGGAAGAGCAAGGGGAGGGACTGCTGAGAAATTGGAAAACATTTTTAAGGAGGTAAGATGAAGTATTTTTGCCATAGTTTACAATTATAATAAAATAAATCTAGAAACTATTTCATGTATGAGAGCATGTACATTAGAAAAAATATTTCTTTCTATAATGAATAACCATCCGATGAACACTAGAATGTGAGTAATTTGTCAGCTTTTCTTTTAATTAAAACTCTGAATATAGTTCATGCACTGTTTGATTCAGCATCAACATTTTGGATGGGGGCTAAAACTGATTTCCTCTTAAATATGTGGCATTTCTCAGGACAACTGATGAAATGTGCCTTAACATTAAGCTCTTGAACCCATGAGGTTGGCTTGTTTCAAGATCAGTAAATCAACAGATATTAGAGTAATAGCCCTGAAAAGGCTCAAGACTTCTAACACTTCTGTAAATGCTCTCTTTACCAAAACTGCATCCATTTTTCCTCTCAGACAACGTGTTTTAATTCATTGCATCATTACCAAGCTGGTCCACTGTAAAATGAATTAAAATCATGCTAGTTAGAACAGTTCCATTCTAAATATGTTTCTCAATGCAATCCATGAAACATTTAAACAGATTAATTTTTATTCTTTTTTTTTTCTTTTAATTTTTGAACAACTGAGAAATCTCCTCTAATTTTTTATTTTTATTATTTATTTTTTTTCCTAATGATTGCTTCTTCGAACCTTCCTTTGGGGAATATTTAAGCTTTCATGAATTAACAGTGGTCTGTTCCCACCCTTCCCACCAGCTTACTCTGCAGTGGGCAGGCACATGATACCTGTGCACATTAGAGAGCTCAATCAAAATCTGCCAAGCCAACATACGATACTAGTGTGTGAGAGAGGAGAGGAGTGATATGTCCCTTGTGAATAAATGTGAATAAACAAATATTTTTATTTTATTTTATTTTTCTGCTGGAAAGAGGATGACACAATATCATATGGGTTGGGTATCAAAGTTTGCAGCCCCATGCTTTTGTGTTAGACTCATCTCCCAGTCCCTCACCACAACTTTGCAACACAGGGACTGAAAATCACCATTACACCTCCTAAAAACACTCATAACATACCATATTTAGATTTAAGTTTTGGTTCCCTCTATTTTGCCTGTTTTGATAAATACCCATGGCACTCAATAAAATTGAAACATCAATGAACAAAACAGATCCATATGAAAATTTCCCTAGGGATTAGGAAAGGAGAAGAAGCACATCTGGTAGAGGAGAGTCACATTGCTAAGTATGCTCAAGTTCCACGTTTATAGGTAAGTACCAGTGGTAATCTAATTTATCTGTAACTTACCTGAATATTTCTTGGTTCAAAGCCTAGGGAATGCAAAGGAGAAACCTGAAAACTGAGAAAGCTCACTCAAAAAAAAAAAAAAAAAAAAAAAAAAAAAGGAAACAGTCAAATTTATATTGTAAGCACCATGGTAGCCCTCTTTGTGAGAAAGAGCTCTTACTTCATTCCCTGGGAATTACTTGAAGGCAAACATGGTGAGAATTACTTTGGAGAGTGTTTGAGGGAAAGCACACCATGGGAAAGAGGAGCAGATGCATCTTTTGAGTTCAGTATTCTTCATGCCTCTAACTTCATATACCCTTTACACAATCTTCCACTAATTCTTCTACACCAATAGCCTATAGAACCTAATTACTCAAAGTTTTTTTTTTTTTTTTTTTTTGTGTGTGTGTTTTTTTTTTTTTTTAATCCTTCTATAAAATGCATAATGCCTGATATCTGAGTCACAAGCACAGTTAATGTAATCTAACACATATTGCAGGAACCTACTGCACACAGATATTACCAATTAGCACATGATTTTAACAATCAACATTCATGCAATTAATAGAACACTTCATATTCCTTCTAATTTTGAGCTCTGCATGAGCATATGTTATCATGACGGAATGTGGGATCATTTATTTATACTGGAAGCAAGGCTTCACATAGAAAGCTGAGATGCTGAAAGTTAGCTTAGAAGTAAAAAAGCCTCAGTTTTGCATTGAGAAATAAATACTTTTCTTCTCCTTTCTAAAAGTTGAGTTGTATCCTTACCTTCTCTTTGATGCTTGCTTTTAATAAGCCTCTGAATGAGAAACTGCTCTGATTGCAGCTGGGGAACACAACTGTAAATTAATCAACAAGCAGGTAAACACTTCTCTCTAAAATTGGATAGCACTACGTAAAAAAGATTCATAAAAAAAGAAATAAACATATTGTGTTCCTTAGATCTTAATATTTTTTTTTTACATTTAGAGATTATAGTATCTGAGCACTTTGTTTTCCTTATTGCATTTGTTGTTATACTTCGCTGTATAATTATTATCCTCATATGACAGATGAAGAACTAAGGTATATAGAGATTAAAACAGAGCTCCACAGTATTTAGGCACCTATTTCCATCAAATTCCTTAGGACTAAGGCATTTAATACATTTAGGGTCTGGTCCTGCCTCTTTTTCTCACTGCAGAGGAATCAGGGCACCTAACCTCTGTTCCCAGAGTCCAGGTAACTGCTGGCCTACCTGACTTGTCTCTCTGCTTGCTCTGGGGTGTTAACATAAGCAAATAGCAACAAAAAATTATTTTAATTACTGAAATCATAGATGTGTTACTAGCTTGTTAAGGAGGAGGGATGTTCAATACGAAGGTGGTTTTTACACGTAGGCTGGAAGGAATCACACCGCACTGCTGCGGTAGCTGGAGCTGCTACGTTCCCAGTCTATCACCGAGCAGAATAACGTCAAAACACAGAGGTTGTGCAAGCCTTCGTTCCAGAACATCCTCACATCTTCAGCTGCCTTCTTACAGAAATGTCGCACGTGTTTCCTACAACTGAAGACATTCCAGCAGGCTTCACAGCCTTCAACAGCTCCTCCTGTGAGTTTTAATACAAGGGTATGCCAAACCAGTACCACACCATGATGACCTTCACTTTGTTTAGGAATTTGCCTGTCTAATCTTACTTTCCATAGATTTTGGAGAATGCAACTAGTGTTGCATGGGTTGGAGTCCTCTTCCACTTACAACACAGCAGGAAAGGTGATGTCAGAAGGGGCATCTGACAGCAGAAGCGACCATGTTCCTGTGAGCTGCATGATGACTTCCCACTCCTTGCCTGTCCAACAGGCTAGTGACAGTGCTTGGTTCCCTTGGGCTTTTGCCTCAGGAGCTGCTCCAAGACCCTGTGTCGAGAGGCTGTTGATGCAGGGAATTTTCCTCCAGCAGCAGGAACCGAAGCAGCTGCAAGAGCTGCAGATGTAGCCTTTAAATCATCATGTCTTTTCCTCTTTCAGGACAAGCTCCTGAGAGAATTTGGTTTACCACACATCTGACGTGTATTTATGTGTTGCGGAACAGGAGTAAAGTAGCGATTCTCAGGGCATAACTGTATTCTGAAAAACGTCAGAGAAGTTTTCATCCTCCCTTGCACTGTCTCCCCCCTCAAGGCAACATTCACACAAGCACCTCCTTTTGGGCAGCTGCTGTTTCAAACAAGAATATATCATAGTAATCTACAGGTGGCTAAAGAAAAGAGATTTCACCTGTGGCTGCAGCACTCCTTCTTATCTCAAGGGCTTTTCAACAAAATTTGGGTAAACAGGGAGGAAAATGCTCTGAACATCAGTATCTGATTGCCATATTTGTATGTTTTGAAATAAGTATGTGTTGAAATCGGTCCAGATTTCCATGATGACAAGGGAGCATACACAACTGCAGAGAGGAAAAAAAAAAAAAAAAAAAAGAAAAGCTTCACATCTCCAATTCAGTTTGCCTGAGGTAACTTCAGCCAAGGTAATAGAGCAGCACTAGTGTCACTGACAGAGGTAGACTAAGGGTGATGGCTTTTCACACTGACTAAGTGTATTAGCACTGGCCTTCCTGCCAAAAATAAATAAAATAAAAGTTTGAATAAAAAAAAAATGTACTTTTTTTTGTTTTCATGGTATCAATAGTAAATATGGTGGTTATTTTTTTTAAGCATTACTTTACTAAAGGCTTTACTGCACAAAGAATCCAGGGGGAACAGAAAATCATATAATTGTGCAGGTTGGGGAATTCTCTAAAAATACGTAACCATGGCACCCTTGTCATTGCCAATCAAGTAATCTTGATAAAAAGTAAAGTAATTAGCCTTTGAGAAGAGCATAAAGCTAATTAAAAATGACAACTTAGTCATCTCCACAAACAACAGCACAGAATCAAGTCAGTAGTTCTAACTACAACATGACTGCAATACCCTGGCCTGCCAAGGGGGCCTTCCTTCAAGCCCATTAAAAGAAACCATGGTTTATAGGATCTAAACTTTGATAGCATTTTCCTTTGTTCTAAAATCTGGATTTGCTTCATCTACTGTATGGTATGTCTGCTTGCTTTTTTGTGCATTTTACCATCTTTTACTAAGTCTTTTGCCATCCATCAGTAATTTTTATAATTTAAATGACATTTAGGAGCATATAAAGTCATATAAAAAGACTATAAAACGTGAAGCATAAGCACATTCATTTCATAAAAGACTTACAAGATACAAATAACAAATTTATTTTCATAACAAAGTTGTTCTTCACAACTTTATAAATAGTAACCAATAATGACCTTTTATAAATAATCAAAAAGAAACCACAAGTTCTTCATTTATATGGCTATATGGGGTTCTGTCCTCCCATAGGCGTTAATAGCAATGTTTTAATTAATTTCTTTGGGAACAAGAGTGAATATTTCTGCTTTTGTTGTCATCAAAAAAACCCTTGAGGAGGACAGGTTCAGAAAATTTTCACAAATGACATCACCTTTCATAGCAGATATTTTTACTCATTACAGGTACAGAAGACAACAAATGTCTGTCTTTTCAAATCACAAAATTCTACTGAATATTTCCTAACATAAGCATACGTAGAATATAAATATATATATTAACATATATTAACTACAGCTGGTAGTCCACAGTACCATGTTTCTTAAAGCTGAGAGCTCGTTTGCTTTGAAGAATTAAGATTTGTTAATCTAAGTTGTATGCAGATATCTTCATCTCCATGAATCTTTGGTGCAATTCCTGAACACCCACCCATAACCTTAAATTTTAAAAGGAACAATCAGTACTGACATGTTCTGGTCAAGTCCAAACAGTGATGTCTTCAACAGATCCATCTGAGTGCTGCTAGCACTTCATCCCACTAATATACCTTCTCCAAGCACACAGAGGAAATACAGGTTTGATCTTTGGAATAAGGATTGACTGACAGAGGAAAATAAGTTTTCATCATTTTTTTATCCCTAGCCCATGCTAATGTTTGACTAAATTTTAAGTTCTGTATTGCTAGGAGAGAAAAGAATAATGATTTAGAGAAACCCTTAGGCTGCTGAAACATGATGCACATAAGCAACCTGCAAAACAGAATGATTGTGACTCAGTGTAAGAACTGAAAACTTAAGCTCCTTTGACTTACCGTACATATGAATACATGATTTGGTAAAATAGTTACAGATGTGTATCTAGACCAAATAAAAAGACCTTGTAGCCATACAGAAAATATGTATCTGCTTGTGCTGCACTCTTATAAAAGCTTGAAGCAGGAATAAAATGTTTGCTTATATTTTGAACAAATGTTGGATGAAACAAAATTCTGAGCAACCATGAACAAGATAAAGACCTTGATCCTGCTCTGTAATGAATCGTAAGGCACAGTTCACAAAGGCCAGCTCTGACTTAGGAAAGCAAGTCTCCCTAAGCTTCTCTGCAGTCAGTGGAGAGAGTGGATCATCCGTCTTCAGCTGTTGTAAACAGGCATCGTTCCACTCGAATCCATGGACGCAGACCAACATATACAGACTGAATATCTTAGGCTGTGATCCCAAATCTACAGATCCGCACCTCTTAATAATTCTTTTCATGCCAAGTGTAACGACGTTGGACAACCTTTCTGAGCTTTGATTTGCAAGCTTTTCATTGAAAACACTTGCAGTGTCAAATGGCCCCCGAGATGAGTTCTGTATTCTGAATCTGGTGCAATTTCAGGTGATTCTAGGGTGTTCTTTCACTTCTTTTAAGTGTTCATTCACATGCATTTGCATTTTATTTATTTTAAAGGAGGAAGTGATTTTTGTTTTGTTTTGTTTTGTTTTGTTATTAACATTTGTAAAGGCCCTCAAGGAAACAATATCTTTTCATAAGCCTACTGGACACGCAGGTGGTTTGGTCTCAGGCTCTTATTCTTTGTTGTCATAGAACACCAGGGAAGATAGGAGAAGTGTTGCTTTTCTCTTCAGTTTTTGCTTTCCCCAAGCAAAAATTAAATTTTTACAGGGATAAAGTAGTAATCTACAACACCTGCAAAGAAAAAGCATGTACTTGATCTTTTGACATGACTTTTTCTTATGTATGGAAGGTAGAGATAGAAATGAGATATTTGTCTAGTAAGGAGAGAAGAAAAGAGTAAAATCTCCACTTGCTCTTGTACCTCTCATCAGACCTACAGGCTCTTAAACTTAATTCCAAGTTTAACCTGGACAAAGAGATGGAAAAAATACACTGTAGGGAACAAGCCTGCATTGGCAGTGGAGTGGATTCAATGACCTAATAGTTCTTTTTCCATCTCTGATTTCTTTGATACTATTTATAAAAGGGAAGCAAAAATGATGGGCCACTCCAAACAAATTGTTAACATAAAGCAACAGCAAGCATCAGAATTGGCAAATGCCTCTTTAAAACTTAGGCAGCTCATGGAGCCAGGGAGAAGACTAATAATGCACCTCTCTGAAGGTCCTGGGCTATGTTTATTTCCCATATTTATTTAAAAGAAAATCAAAATACTTTTAAGCAAGTCAGCTGGTTCCAAATTTAGGAACAATTGAACAAAGAGGAATCTGCTAATTCCAGATGGAGTGCATATAGTCCCTTGGCACTTATTACTTACCAAATGTTTCGGAAAGCAAACACATGACCTAAAAGATTTTGTGAGTGTGGGGTCCTCAAAAAAGCTCTTAACAAGTCATGTCTTTCTAACCATATTTACTTTACCCACACACAAAAACCCACTTAGTTTTCCTTTTTTTTTTTTTTCTTTTGGTTAAAAAAAAAAAAAAGACAGACAATGCTCCCTTTAAAGACTATTTATGTACGATTCAGTTATCCCATAAGGCCAGGGGCTCTGTAGGTGTCTCCTTTGAAAGGCTTCAGCTGTGGAGCATCTGCTCTCTGTGCATGAAGGCCACCTTTCCCTGCACCATGGCTGGCGTAGGTGTTTGGTTAATGCAGGAGCTCTCCCACCCAGCGGTGTGGGAAACAGGCACCTATAGGCAGCTCCTCGTCTCAAAGATCCAACATAGGTTTTGTGTTTGTTTTCTCCTACATCCAGTCCTTTTCACACTCACAACATACTGCACAACAATTTATGTTGCCCAACATACTGCACATAGGTACTAAGCCACCCTCAAAACACATCCTTAGGCTAACTAATGTAGGATTGCCGGTAAACGTTTCATATTCACGTTGTATCTTAATTAAACAGGAAACTGAATCTGATGAATACAACTAGGAATTTTTTAGTGAGTATTATATATCATTATAATAAATCTTTACTCCCCAAATTAAATACTTCCAGGGAAGTATAAAGCAGAAAAAAAAATAAATAAATAAAAATGAGGGCAGTTTGACCAAAAATCAGAAAATCCTGCTGAGAGGCTTCCTTTTCCAGTAGCTCTCCAGCCCCACAAGCACAGTAATGTAACTGAGCAAATGTTGCGTTAGCTCCTGTGCCTGTGCCCACAAAATCTGCAAAACTTCTGCTGTCTGCATGGGAGGATTCCCTAAAGAGGGTCTGTTCTCTTCTGCTGATCAGATAAGCCCAGCCCTACCAAAGGGGCGGAAATAAAGAGAGCAGGTTAGAAAAGTGTCTAATAAATATTAGGTTTACTTATATATATATATTTTTTTTCTATTCCTTTCAACAACAGAATAACACCTCTTTTCTTAAAAAAGTAAACCCCCTTCCCTGCTCCAAAGAGTTGGGAAAAAAAAGGGGGCAAAAATAAAACAAATGTTTAAGACAATTAGTTGTGATTAAAAGGGATAAGAAAAAGGACTTCTCAGGATATTATAAATAAGTTTAATTTAGTTACAGAGTTTGTATGAGAGAGATCTATTTCCCTAAGGCTTCTCTTTTTCTTTTTCTTTTTCTTTTTCTTTTTTTTTTCATTTTTAAGAAGTTTATCATTTATTTTAAAAATCTTATCTTCATTTACTCTGTAACCCTCTTGTTTAGACCTGTATGGATGTCATTTTTTCACAGCCATAGACTCAGACCAGAAAGAACCTGATGGCAAATGCACTTATATCAGTTCAAGGACCCACGGTGTGAAATCTGCTTGCTGCCAGTGCACACCCGCTCCTTGCTCAGCTGCTCTCCTCTACCCGTGCGCTGCGGCAGTCCCTGATGTTTTAGTATTGCCGGTATTTCTCTGAAAATCCTTAAGCTGCACCAACTAACTCCACTGAACAAATTATTTTACATTTTTAACTGAAATGCTTTTTGTTTTTATTTTAATGAATCCCCTAACTCCAAGTTTAATTAAACTCATGTTTTTTAATTAATTACCAACAAATGCAAATGAGAGAAACTACACAAACATGTATTCACTGTTCACAGATACAGTTGTCTTTCTGTGTTTGTTTTTTTTTTTCTTTTATTTCTTTTTTTTTTTTTTTTTTTTTTTAA